TCTTTGTTTTGATGCACTAGTGCAGGGGTGGCGAACGTCGGTCCTTTTGAGCCGCAGCCCTGCAGAGTTTTGCTTCAACCCTAATCAAACACACCTGAACAAGCTAATCAAGGTCCGAACGGTTATTAGGAAGCTTCAGGCAGGTGAGTTTTAATTAGGGTTAGAGCTGAACTCTGCAGGGCTGCGGCTCTCCAGGACCGGAGTTCGCCACCGCTGCACTAGTGCTAAAATGAATTTTACTTCAATTAAAATCACATCATAATTATGATTTTTGAACCCATTAGGAGGAACTTCTCAATGGACAGCGTCTATGAGACCGTTTTAAGACTGGCTGCTGAAGATGACCTCAACTAGTCAATCAATTGAATGATTACTGATAACACTAGGATGTTAGCTCTTTACTCTTCACACATGAAGTGTCTATATACTTGTGCAAGTTCATGAGAGTGTTGCGTCAGTCACTCACATAGTATGTGTTGTCATCTTCATTGTACGCCAGCTTGACAACTCCATAGGAGCCCTTTATCAGGAAAACAAGGTGCGTCAGTCATGACAACTTGTAAATGGATCAAACTGCAATACAAACACACTCAGTAACATGCAAAAACGGTGGGAAACAGGAGGCTAAAGTGGCCAAGCATTTGTGCCGTTTGATTAACTGAAGAACATGTAAACCAAACCAAGCCAGTAGGCAATAGCTGGCATCATGATGAATGCCATAGACAGGCATAATTCCACTTCTGTTCTGTCTCTATCTCTCTCAAACCCACACACACACACACACAGGTCCCAGCTGGGAGAGCAGATTGCCGTTCCAGCAGGGAATCCAACCCTTAGACACAGAGATGAGAGCAGAGCAGGAATCTCCCCATCCAAGCTGACAGTTTTCCATGCCCTCGAATAGAGATGAAGCTTAGTGGAACAGCAACAGTGAAAACACTGCTCCTTTCACTTGCTTTACTCCATTACTCTGTATACTGCTTTATTAGTAAGTTCATTACATGCGCTTATGTGTACTCCTCTTAGAAAAAAGTACTGCGGTAATACTATGGTACACATGGTTCACAAAGAACTCAAAATACGGTGTATCATAGCATTAACACGATGCCATGTCAAAAAAAAACATGGTAAAACATGGTACTTTTGTAAGGGTCTAATTCATTCTGTTTTAATCATGAAACTTTGATCTATCCTATGGTGTCACAAAATTACCATATTCATATACTATGAAACTAAATAATATTCCAAGTTATTTCAAACTCTATTACCATGGTACCCTGTTCCAGAAAAGGAAAAAACAAGAAGGCACTATTGTATAATGTCTAGGCAAAATTGATTTTGAATAGTCAACAGCAACATTCTGTGGTCAAATACCGATTTTCCCTACATTTTTTATCTTTTTTATATTTCCGACATAGTTATCTCTGGTATAACTATTTTTTTATTCTCATATTCACTACAGTTTAAAAGAGTTTTTTAAAATTATATTATTATATTATATTATTATTTTTTAGATACTTTTATTCAGCAAGGATGCTTGAATTGATCAAAAGTGACAGTAAAGGCAGTTATGATGTTAGAAAAGATTTATTTCACTAACAGATTTAATATAGCACATTAAACATTGCTTAAACATTGATAATAATAATAAGAAGAAATGTTTCCTGGGCAACAAATGAGCATATTAAAATTATTTTTTATTTTTTAGTCATTACCCCAATCTTCAGTGTGCAAAAAAATAATTTGAATATGCTCATTTGGTGTTCAGGAAACATTTCTGAAAACTCAGCTTTGTCACCACAGGAATAAATGACATTTCAAATAGAAAACCACTATTTTAAATAGCAATAATATTTCATAATAAATGTGTTTTTTAATACAGCAATGCAGCCTTGGTGAGCATAAGCATAAATAAAAATTTTACCGACCCCAAATGTTTAAACTCAAATCTATTTTTCATGTGTATTTATTTATTTATTTTCCAAGATACATAAAAAAGGAAAAAGTGTGATCATTTCATGTGGTTAATTTTGTAAAAATGACCAATATGCCTCACGTATTTTGTTACTTTTCATATTTTTACCATACCAAATATGTGAGATGTTTGTTCTGAAATAAGGAAAACAGCTCAATTAATCTTTCAGCAGAGTGTTCATTCATCCCAGACTCAGCAGGAAGTGATCTATACATAAATAATAAATGAAAAATAGACATACTTTTCCGATCTCATCTTTCAGCTTGTACTGGTTGAGCTGCACACAGTCCTTTTGAAATAAAGAAACACATGATATCGATCAATGACACCAAGGTCTTCTTTAAGGAATTGTAGTCACTACTTGTGGCCAAAGATCGCAGCAAATGCTAACTTGATTCTCTCATTAAGAATGATGCTTGGAACATTCCAGGTTCAAAGAATCAAAAGCATTAGCAGAAGAAAAACTACAAGGGAGTTTTTGAGCCAGGGTTATTATAGTTAACTAAAACAAAATAAACGTTAATTGAAATAAAATATAAAAAAACTTGATTTCAGCTAGCTGCCAAGGCATCATTTCTCATTTTGGTTTAGCTTAATTTGAAGTACTAAAATAACAAAAACTAAATAAACTGAAACAAATAAATACAAATTAATAAAAACTATTTAGACAAAAAAAAACATAATAGAAATGACAAAAAATACACTACAAAATTACTAAAACAGTGAAAACAGAAGATATATACAAAAGTATCAAATTCAAAATATTAACAAAAACTATAATAGTATATCGATGATCCTGAAATAACACTGACTTGAGCCCAGAAAGGTACACGAGCTAAAGCTACACACATTTCTCGCTGATTTCATGTCCTAATGGAAAAGCAGAAGCATCTATAGGGGAACTTTCTCTTGACAAGCACCATTAAGAGGAAGGTTACCTTACATAGCCTCTCAAGCTTGCAGACTTGAAGCCAATGCAGAGGATGAAGAAAAGGAAATGTTCTTCTCAAAGACAATATCAGTTCTCACACAAGCAGCTCAAATTATCTCAGGGCACAGCATCACATTGTCTAGTTTTTGGTGGTATAATTATATAAGCTTACATAATTGTTAGGCACAATGTTAACCATTGTGTTGTTCAGATAGTTGGATTGTGTTAAAATAGATGATGTTGTGTTTTACACCTTCCAGATATTGCCCACCTCTAATATAGAGATCACAAAGAGCAATTTCTATATTTTATAAATGATCTTATAATATATTTAGTATATAATATGTAATATTTAATATCTAAATATAAATGAATTGACATTACTAATTAATTCAATGTTAAATACTATATAAATAATAAAAACATATTTTTATTAAAAAACTGCAACATTAGAGTAAAAAAATTCAGATTTTCCCCCATGCCATTTACAAGCCTACACTATTTAAAATATAGAGACGAATTAATTGATATGAATAATTTAAATGTTAAATAAATAATATATTTTCAAAAATATTTTCAAAATTTTTTAGCATAATTACAAACTTTTCTGTATTTTATTTCCATGACATGTACAAGGCTTCAGGCCACTATTACATCATTTAAAATATAGTGTATAATGTGAATTTTATATTAAACAATATATTTATTATACAATATTTACTGTCTATATTTAATATGTAAATAATAACTAATTGTTATTAATAATTAAGATACTGAATATTATATAAATAATAAAAATATACTTTTACAAATATGTCACATTTTAGAGTTCAAATATTTTATATTGATACAAGCATTTTATAATGTAAATTTTACATTACACAAAATATTTATTATAAACTATTTACTGTCTATATATTAAATATGTAAATAATAATTAATTGCTATTGATAATTTAGATATTAAATATTACATTAATAATAAACATATCTTAATTATTTATAAATTAAATAATAATATTTATATTTATATTAATTCTATATTTTATTTCCAGCCTACAAGCCATTTTACAAGCCTACATCATTTAAAATATAGTGATCACAAAAAGCAGTTTCTAGCCCCAAAGCTTTATCATGTATATTTTTTTATATTTAATATTTAGATTTAATGTGTAATTATGAATTAATTTAAATTAATAATTTAGATAATAGATATTATATAAAAAAATTGCATGACAAAAAATTTTACATTTCATTTAAATATAATATAATTAATTAATGGATTTATGTAAGGGACCTGCCATTACCTCCGGCCACCTACCTGCAGGTCTGTGATGGAGACACGATGAGACAAAAAAATTGCATGACAAAAATGTTTACATTTCATTTAAATATAATATAATTAATTAATGGATTTATGTAAGGGACTTCCCTACTCTTCCAATCACACCTGCCATTACCTCCGGCCACCTACCTGCAGGTCTGTGATGGAGACACGATGAGACTCCACGGTTGGTCTTCGAGGGAGGCGTGGAGACGAGTGAGGGGAGGTGATTGGCGAGTAGGGCAGCGATGGGTAAATATAGCGTCCATTCAGCCCCGGTGAACCGCAGGGCGATGAAAGCGTCTGTGAGCGTTCCTGTAGTGACAGCTTCCGGTCGGAGAGGCTCAGTCTACCTCTGTGCTCCTGTGGTTCTGGGAAGAGCGCTTCCGGGCAGCCCACCGTGTGGGATAACAGATCACAGGAGACCATGCGGAAGGGCGGGACTGGACCTGACGACGCCGGCTCTGGCGTTTCCGAGCTGTCCATGTCCTCCACCTCCTCCTCCTCTCCGCCCTCCTGCCCTGAGCCACCACTGGGCTCGTACTCCGTCACCACAATCATGGACTCCATCTCACTGGTACAAGAGCTCAGGCGCGTGGATGGGGAAGGGAGCACAACACAGCTCCGCAGCAGGTCAGGCAGTGGCTGATTGGGCGGCTGTACTCGGGGAATGGGCGGAGCATGGCCCAGAGCGGCAGGGGGATCAGAAGAGGGCCAGGAGGAGACACAGGGAAACATAGTGTCCTTCCCAAACACCTCTCAGTAGCCCCTCCATCAAAGCCTGGCAGGAAAAACAGAGTTGGGAAATGTTAGATGTCATATAGAATGTCCGCGCTTTTGCCCAATGAATTTCCTTGACTTTGAGTATCGTTTGGGAATGGCCGTTATGATCACTTCACATTTTTATTATTATTTTTCCATGTTCTTTCCTGATATTGCCCACTCAATATTCTATATATCCAATCCCAATCAATAAATTTTGCCCAATCACCAATATTTTATAATGTATTATTTTATATATTATATTTATCATATAATTATTATACCCATTATATAAATATTTGATATTTACTGTATATAATAGTTAGTATTCAACTGTTTAGTGTCCAATTATAAATTGATGTTAAAGGGGGTCATATGATGCGATTTCAATTTTTTTTCTTTCTCTTTGAAGTGTTACAAGCTCTGGGTGCATAAAGAAGATCTGTAAAGTTGCAAAGACTAAAGTCTCAAATCCAAAGATATATTCTTTATAAAAGTTAAGAGTCAGCCACGCCTACCTAAAACGGCTCGTTCTAACACGCCCCCACATGTCTATGACACGATGTGGGAAGATTTGCATAATGCCGCCCAAATGTTCACGCAAAGAAAGAAGGCGTATCTTTTATTCTCTCTGTAGTATTGTTGTTGCTGCCGCTGCCATGTCGTGAAGGCGCTGTGTGTTTCGTTGTGAAAGCGAAACTACTTTGTTTGGCCTTCCAAAAGAGGACGATATCCGCTTAGTCATGCCTAGAGCTGATCCGTGCTGGTCGCTGAGGAAATACATCAACTTCGCACTGTGGATCGCCGGACCGTCTTTCACCGTGGACGAAGCGGAGTCCAGCCCGGGGTCGTCACATGTGGTATTATAATCCGTAATTATGTCCCCACTGGATGCAACAAATGCCTCGTTTATAATGGGTTTTCATGTTTTTGTCTCGTCGCTCTGGCAGGACAGGGCATCACAGTATGGTAAGGGGCGTAACATTTCCGTCACACGCTTGAGGTATTCGGCCAATCACAACGCACTGGATAGCTGGCCAATCAGAGCACACCTCGCTTTTCAGACCGATGAGCTTTGTAAAAATCGACGTGTTTCAGAAAGGCGGGGCATAGAGGAGAAACAATAATGTACATTATGTGGAAAATAAGTTTTTTGAACCTTAAACCACATAAACACATTTCATTACACCAAATACACAAAACAATGTTCTTTTTAGCAACATCATATGACCCCTTTAATATTTTAGATATGAACTATTACACAAATATACAAATTTTAAACTATTTAAAAATATTTTTTAACATTTTTGAGTTGATCATAACTAAATTTCTTTTTTATCCTTGATTTTCACAAGTCTGCACCTTCTTAAAAAGCCCTGACATGTATTATTGTGATATATGCAAGTATTTATTAATTTTGCTACTTTTTTTTTTTTTGGGCTAATGGACCTGGAGTCTGGAAATAAAGTTGAATGACCATATCTTACAAAATGTCAGTGCACATTCAGGTGTTTTTGTAGAATTTTTGTGATTTTGTGATTTTTGTGATCAGAAAAAACTGATTTTTGTGTGTTGAATTGAGATGTGTGTATATACAGTATATTATATATCTATATACACACACACCTCCATTCAACACACAACATTTTCTAATTTACATACCTTTAAAATTCTACAAAATCTCTATTTTAAAATTCCTTGATATTCCTGGGTTTTCCCTGACATTGATTCTAGGACAAAGTCTAATGGGAACAAACCCTTGATACAAAAAAACCTTTGCGCTATATATACTTAACCTCCATTTTTGTCTTTAAGTCAGGTCATTGTTATAAAATGATATTACACTGAAAAGTGGTGTACCTGTACAGATTAAACGAGTGAATACAGCTAATAAGCTTATAAATTTAAGATGCTTCAAGTAAAGCCTGCTTGAAAAGATTACATATCTCCATTCTGCTCTGAGCCCGCGTTTCTTAATGGCATTGATTTACATGCAAAATGCTGTAGTTTCTTTGGCAAGCCGATTTTCTGAACATTGGAGACTCTGTGTGTGTGTGGGAGAGGTGTGGGTCTCGCAGAATGAGAGAAATATAAGCAGGTACAATAAAAAAGACATTCATTACTCTGAGGGGTTCAGAAATGAGAACTTGTGTGGGCTGGCCCACCCCCTCCATGCGTCCTCATTTCTATCGCTCGCATTCACCGAGATCCACTGCAGCTTGGTTTTTCTTCTCTATCTCGGTTTCGTTCCATGTCATTTCTTCATCTGCGATCGAATCTCTACTTATGTTTTTGCTGTAATATCATCTCGGGGCCCTGGCCTCCATGCGTTCTCCTGTCAAAACACCTACACAGCTGGTAGATGGTGTTCTCTCTCCCTCAATCGGGAACACTGTGGGGGAAAAAAGCCTATTTTTCTCAGCGTTCCTCATCTTTGACCCCTCCCGCATCCATTTCCCAACATTCATTTTCACCCTAAATGGGTGAACTCATTTTCACCCTAAATCAGAACGCACTGATGAGGATTCGAGCTTTTCTAGCTAAAAATGTCACTTTCTCACAAGAAAAAAAGTCACATTCATACTGGAAATAACCTCCATTCTCAAAAATCTCCATTCGGATCAAAAATTACATTAGAGGAAAGCCTCAGAATATAATAGAAACTTGGTAGGCTCTTAAATTAAACCACTTTATAATCACCCAGAACATAATACAACCACCTAGCCATGTGCTAGAAACCACGCAGAACACCTTAGAAACAGTATAAGTGTCAACCTTTGTATGATTAAGCAAGCACTATTCACATTTATGCATAAAATGTAAAAAATCTTGTTTATCAAACTGTCCCTCACTATCCATCACCTACTGAGAGATTCAGCCAGTAAGAGAATGAATGATGGATTTTAGATGACATTAATATGACAACAAGTAACAACCAAGTGATTGTAACGTCACGCAAGACGATATGTGCAACATCCTGTGTTGTAAACATTTTTAAAACACACAAAAGTACTGTTATGCTTATTATTAAACTTATAATGACACTTATAATAAACTTACATTTATGCAGTTTCTATTTAATCTTATTCTTGAAATTAAAATTGTATATTTAAATTTTACATTTATTAATAAAGAAATTGAAAGCACACTGAGAAAACACTGAGAAATAAAATGTAGCATTCTTTCCAAAACATTAAAAAATCTAACCGACCCCAAACTTTTGAATGGTAGTGTATTTAGTTATTTAAGAGCTGCGTTTTTTTCCGTTAAAATTTTTCTGGACTCCTTTTTAATGGTTAAATTAAATTGTATTAATCAAAAAGCATGTCTAATTAATTACAATCATGAAACTTAAACAATTTAACATCAATTTATTAAAAGTTTAACAAAAATTACATGTTTAGGGCCCTATGAAATGTTTCATTTTTTCCAACCTTATGTTTTATTGTTACAAATTCTGTGTTTTAACATGTCAAATCATTTGAAAGCATAAAAAAAGTTTCATTTATTCTTACAATAGCCTTATGATTTTTTGCTCAAAAATTATGTGTTGTGTATTTACATTTTTTAAGGCATAAAACATTCATTTAACAACCTTATGTTTTATTGTTACAAATTCTGTGTTTTAACATGTCAAATCATTTGAAAGCATAAAAAAAGTTTCATTTATTCTTACAATAGCCTTATGATTTTTTGCTCAAAAATTATGTGTTGTGTATTTACATTTTTTAAGGCATAAAACATTCATTTAATCTATATTTTAATTATTGAAAATTAAACAAATTAAATTTTTTGGAAAATAAAGGGGATTTAATATTACAATTAAAACAATGAAGAAATATTGTATGATTATTCCTTACAAATAAGGTTTTAATAATTTGAGTAGTAGTAGTTGCCTATTATGTACATTCTACTGAACAATAGTAATATATTTCTGCCGCAATGTCTTCAAGTTAAACCAAACTTTTATTTTGACGGGTTGCCGTGAATACCTTTACATTTCTGTGTGTGTATGATATGATGATAGTTTAACTGAAATGAAACGGTCAAATGCTGATGAAGTGGCTCTCAGAGCAGTTCTGGAGATGCTGTTCATGTATTTATGTCCTCATTAGTGAGAAGCATCACACGCGCTTTAGTACGAGTAGTAAACAAAACCGCACGTCTGAGCCATTCATTAACACAGAGACACGCATAATTCATATTTAAATAGTCTTTTTGCAGCTTAATATTTACAAATACTACTAGTGGGAGTGGGAGTATACTCACTTCTGTGTGCGCATCAGTGCAGAGAGCGCGTGACCACGTAACGTAAAGACAGAAATGACATGCCGTCGTGTAAATAAGAAAAATAACATAAGGCTATTTAGTTAGTTTAATAAAAGAACTTTTTTTGGTTAAAAATGATCTGAAATCAATATTTGGGCAAGTACATAACCAGCCAGTGTTCAAAACTATCGCCTTACTTTAGCCCGATTCACAACGGTTAGGTTATAATAATGTTTTCTAATTTGAGTGGTACGGATAGGTTTTCGTAGGAAATTCGAGCATGGCACTGCATCATTACGACACGTCTGTAAACATAAAGAAGTTATCCCTGCTACTAGGCTATCGCATGTGAGGATCCTGTAAGTGGCAGATCGTTTATAGCATTTTCTCACAGCAGCCAGAATAATTAAATGTATCATTTTGATGGCGGATTGTAATCCATAAAGGATTATGTGTTTATGAAACATGTGAATGAAATTACATTATATTCCAGTTATAAATGTGCTTCTGATTACAGATAGCCTGGGATTACACAAGATTTGTATTTTAAAGAAAACCAGTTCGAAAGGAGCATAATTTGCTTTTTGGGTTAAAAGAATTTCTTAATATGAAATTCGAAGAGTATGACAATTGGACTAGACTGTGCAGAAATTGAAGTCTACATGCTAATACACACTATACTCATAGTCACCAATGCTGATGTTGTTAACATTAATCATTTGAGAATAAAATATAACAATAATAATAATT